AATAATGTTGTGCTAAAAATTACTAAAGTATTAATATTTCTGGTTTATCTCTTCATTAGTGAAAAATTTTTTAATTGTAACTTTTAGCCATTTTGGCCCACAGGTTCAGGCTGTGCTAGAGGTTTCCTGGGCGTTTTTGATGCCGCATGGATGATCCGAAATTATTGCTCTGGCCGCTACTCCTGTCTCGAAGTTTTAGCCGAACGTGACTCGATCTATAAGCTGCTAGCTCAGTGTACACCGAACACGCTCAACCAGAACATCAAGTCGTACACGATTGACCCACGAAGCCGATACCCAAGTCTAGAGAGTTCATTGCTTCCTCCACAGGTACACGTGTTGTACGATGTAACTGTTGTCTAGTAATGAGTCGCTGTTTCTGTTGTTCTCTCGTGTGTGAGGAGCAAAACTGTTAACATCCTGTGATATGCAAACAAAAATAGTGCATGTATGTTCACGGCTAAGCCTAAGCGCAGTAGGCAACATCTTAACTCAGAACCAACTTCTGCAGTGTTCAAGGGAATGCAAATTTTTTCTTTGTGCTTTGTCGTCGTTGACGAGGAAGGGACCGTTATTACAGGCAATTTCGACATCGCCTGGAGAACACTTGCTGAACAGCCTTAGACACATGGTACATTACCCTGCTGGAGGAAACTAACTCCGAATGCTCCAGGAGCATAACGTTGCTTTAAACTCACCTTTTGAATCGGTTAAAAACGCATGAAACAATGAGATTTCCTGTGAAACTTTTTACACTTGTTCGAAAATAACGTTTAGACAGATAGACCACTAGGCAGATATAAAGATCAGCTGAGATCACGAAGTCATATTGAAAGATGACGTTGTGTTTTTACTGTTTGATCCATCTTTCAAACCCATGAAATGCAGAAAGCTCGATAAAGAAAGCGGCACAGTAAATTTAAAAATCTGCCGAAGACGAGGTATATGCGATCAGATATCTGGGAAACGGCCCAAATCAGTCTATGAAGGGAGTCATTGGTAGAAGTGCAAGTTATGTCCTTGATTTTGGATTAGGAAGCGAACATATGATATCATCAAGAGACCGCCCTCATGCAGACGGAAAGCAAGTTCATAATCAAGAACAACGTGCAGGGGGAAAAGGAGATAAAAGTGGAACAGTCTGTTAGACACAACCGTACTGGTAGACTAAAAAGGATGTCAAGAGCTGCAGTCCCGGATCACCTCAATATTGAGATAACTGTCTGGACCGATAGAAATCATCTCGAACAGTAATACGAATGAAATGCTATGGGCTGTGGGCACGTTGCTCGCGTACCACTGGTGGATTACTGCTATCATCGAGTGATACCGGCGGGATCATGATAGACCAGTCTCTGTCCAAGGAGGTTAAGGCAATTTTATGAATTGTTTACAAGGACTATTACTGTTGAGGAAAGCTCGATCGTGCAGAAATAGAGGACAGGAATGGAAGAAATCTTGCCGTATCGTTAATACCCAGGATTTACGAATAACTGTCGATCAGGTTGATCAAACAGTATATAATCGACGGACAGAGGATCCCGCGGAGGATCTAAAATGACTTCAAGCAAGTGCATCACTGAACCTTGCTCCAGGACTGGAATGTCACTTGTGGTCGCTTGGTAGTCGGCGCAACATCGGAATCATTGCAGGCATTTTTGAATTACTACTCCACGACCAGAAAGTGCAAGTAGCAACTGAAATAGACTTTTGTATAACCGTTGTCTTACCGTCACATTCATTGTTATCTCGATGAAGAACACTGCCAATGGCGAATGAAAATATGTTCTGTTAAGCGATTCTTACCGATTTTGATGAACATCAAAACGTGATGAAAAAGATGATTACCTAAGATATTGTGATGACTAAGGTAAAATGTCGTATTTGAGCGCTGAGCACGGATATATGAGTTAAGACAACATTTCTACTGCAAGACTCCTCTACTTTTCTGTTCAATTTCTCATTTCATTCATCAGCACCGTCATATCTTAAGTCAAATTTAGATCTGTCCTGAAATTTGTTTTGTTCCTTGAGGTATTGATTTTACCGTTTTGCATTAATAGTACTTTTTAGGTTTATGACCTGGTCGATACGGATGATTGGACGGGAATCGAGGAAGCGGTGGTTCCGCCGTTGTCGCCGATCGACTATGGTGCGACATACTTTGTTGAACAGAGCTTGGTCGTCTTTTACCAGCAGCTGGTAGCACCGTACCGACTTCGGGTCGACAACCTGACCGTATCGTTTTGGAACGGTATCGTTCTGAGTGCCGTCTTGCACCGTTGTTGTCCCGGTCGATTTAATGATTTTTTCGACATGAAGCCTTCGAACGCAAGGCAGAACCTTTGCTTTGCTTGTCACCATATTCGCAAGCTGTGGCACATTGAACCCCCGACGTCGTTGAACAAGAAGGAAATGTTTTTGTACCTTAGCAAGATCTTCTGCTACCTGCAGCACACAGAGGTACCGGCTGCTGATATATTTTTAGTTAAGGGTCAGAGCCATTCGGCCGATGTCCCTCCATCTTTTGGTCGTCGTAATGTCCGTGAGAAAAAACTGATGGACTCGACGACCGAGCGCAATCTTACCAGGAAATCACAGACCGCAACTCGTTGCGGAGATTCATCTGCTCAAACTGCTCCCTTGAATCAGGAGCGTTTAGAAAAAGCAGACGCGATTATCTTTAACCCTGGCGGTAACCGTACGTCCAAGGGATCCCTGTCACATTACAGAACTCACAAGCTGGACGACGAACGGTTGTTGAGAGTGGATAACATGCTAAGGGGAAGGAATGATGCCTCAACGGGTGCTTGCAGGAGTCGATACGGAGCTGGTCGAAGGCCGCCGATCATTTGCCGGAAGCTCGACCCTCAGGAAATTTTGGACATGGAACGGAAGCTGAAGCTGACTGCTTTGGGATGCCTTCTGTACCACCGGAAAGAGCCGAACATAAGCTCGAAGGATGCGAAGATTATTGCGGAGAAAACTTCGCTGTTGAAAGCCAGGGCGCAAAATGGCTTTAAGGAGCCTACCGGACGTTTCAGTGAATTTGATCGAACGGCGAAGATGCTCGACCAGCACCTACGGCTGCCGAATAAAACCGGCGCCTTCAGCGTTGCGCAGTTGGCCAAGCTGCACAGCAACAAGATCGGTGAGTTCGCTTCGCCGAAGCGCAGACCGCCGGTCCCTCTGCCTCCTCAGGCGAGGCAAGTGCCTTCAGGGTCTGAGTTAGCGCGACGGTCACCGCCGCATATGCAGCCCTCTCTGCCTCACGCTAGTTGCATGGTGTGCGGTGCCGCCGTGTACTTGGCCGAACGGGTTTGCATCGAAAACAACGTTTGCCACCGCGAGTGTTTCCGCTGCGCCTACTGTCATTGCCACCTTCGCCTTAACGGATTTGGCTCAGAGTACATCGACGCACTTGGCAAACACATCTTCTGTCTTCGCCATTTGAACCTGCCACTTAACGAGAAGATACAATGCGTCACCGCCGGCAGAACCGTTGAACAGTGCCAAAAGCGTACCGGAACATCTTCAAAACCTGATTCATCGGCGCAGTCAGTGGAACGTTTCCAAAATCAAGATCAGTTCGAGTCGTGGTATTCTGACGATGAAAAGGGGTCCATTAAGTCTTTCGATTTTCCATCTGATGCTTCGTACACGAATTTCGCCTTTACTTCTCCCAACGATGAGGACGACGACGGTGGCCACCAGACGTTGTTCGCATCATCTGCAGGCTTCGTCCAAAATCGTAAGCAATTATGGTTTTGTTCCCTTCCTTCATTATCATGTCTCTTGTGTAGTAATAACTGTAATGCCAGAAAACAAATACTATGTATTAAGCACAATGTAATAAAACAAATTTTGCACGATAAACTTGTACCAGATGTTTCAAGCTGCGTTTGACACTGGCTTTCTTCAGTGTACCTTTCGGCACGGGTAGTTTGATCCAGACTACCCTCATGTTTTCACAGTTGTTGCGGTAGAAAACGACTGTCAGCATCGACATCCACTACTCCTGCAGAGGGCCATTTCAGTGTTTGTCCGTTCCATAATTTTACATGACCACTTCCAACACCAAGTCGTTGTTTCTGCGCTGGTTTGCTTACGCACTTTGATATGTACAATACTTAGTTTTTTATTCTGCCACTCTCAGATCGTAGCTGATCAGCTTATGGCTGACTTCGTGGACTGCGACGCATCTGCGAACGGGTCCCAAGGCACTCTTGACCGTCCGCCTGGTTTTCGGTCGTTCGGATGGGCATGCAGTAACTCTTTTGTTTTCCTCTCTCTAAGCGTACGCAAAACGTTCCTAAACTACTCTTCTGGCCTCCATATCCTCTACACCGATACACTCATCGCCCTGCTATGCCTGACTATTTTATTCATGTTTAACACGAACATTAGAGGGGACAGAACGCAGCCTTGACGGAGACCGGTGCTAGCGCTGAAAGGTTTTGACTTAGCCTCATTTATTGTGACGCAGCACTTGCTCTCAGCATATAGTGATTGGATGGCCCATACCAACTGGCAACATGTAAATGGGATCAGCAAACTGCCACGATTTGTCAACATTCTAGTGTAAGGCAAAGATCTCGTAAGAGGCGCTCAAGTATTTCTCGGCACCTCCTTTGTAACACCTTTGCCTACATTTTTCCATGGTTGCTCAGTGATGTAATTCCCAGTTAATCTGAGCATTGTCTGTTCTCTTCCTTCTGATCAGGAGTACTACAACCCAGGCTGCCACTGTTGGCCAGTCAACTGTTGGCTTACGATAGTCTGCAGTTTGACAAACACGTGCCGCAACTTGCCCTGTTCGCCAACAGATTTAAGCATTTCAGGGCGGATTTAATCGATTACGGTAGCCTTACCAGTTTTCTAGCTTTTTACACCTTCTGTGACGTTATCTACGGAAATAATAATATCCGTTACCCGTTGCTGTTGAGACGAATCTTCCTGCGCTTAACTGGGTTGAAGAGTTCCTTAAAGGGCTGTCACGATTGTCCATGTATATCCTGTTCCTTGGTAAGAAGGCGTTCGGACTTGTTCTTCAGGACTCTTAGACTGCCCTACTTTTCACCTCGTCGTTGGCAGATGGTCTGCCAGAATACATTGTTTGCCGTTTGGAATTCGACTCCATCATCTCACCAGACTTCTCTCCCATGATCAGCCTTTCGCTCTCGTCATTGCTTTCACTGCCGCCTTGCGCGCTTCGTCATACCGCAAGCAGGCTCTTTATTTCTAAGCCATTTTTGAATGCAGCTTTCTCTCTGACAGATAGCCGTACATCTGGTATTTACCAGGAAGTACGTTTCAGCCCTGGCAGGTCAACCCTTGTTAGCCAAAGCATTCGGCCTCAGCCCCGTCCGAAACGAGCTTCCATTTGGTTTCTACACTCCAGGGTCATGCGTAGTGGTGATACACCCCTGGTTCCAGAAGGCGATGAAAACGTTCTTACTTTCCGTATCCTTCTTCAGTCTCCTAACAGCTTGGGCGACCCTTGGTAACCTGAATTCAGCCGGGTTGCAACTGAATCTGTATAATATTGGATGTCGTCAATCCCAAAAAAATTGCAGATGGCAAATGTTTTTGGGAGATTTCTGTCGCGATGCGCAGGTTTCCTTTCTCCTCTGGATTTTGTTATGATGAAGAAAATGAAGAAGAATGCGAAAAAAACTAAGATGGCATGACAGAAGAAAGAACTGATATGAAATTGAAAAAGGTTTTATGATTTTCGAAATGAATTTCATTAATGAATTGAATTAAGCGCCTACTATTTCGGCTGCGGTCAGTTTGTTGAGGACCGTAGAAGAGAAGGAGTTTATGGAGGACTTTACTCGGTGGCAATGGGCGAAGGGCTTTTCGAAATAATATCAGACGATCATCTGGCTGATATTCACGAATGCACGTCAGAAGTCCATCAGCTTATATAGTAGTCGAAGTTCCATTTATAACTGGTGCCATTAAACGTTACTGTACTTATTCCTCCACAATGATCTTGCTTGTTTTGTAATCGTTTCCTCAGGGTCTTGTCCTTTTTCCTGCTTTTGATCATTATTGTCATGTTCATAATCGTGCTGTAGTTTTTTTAATTTCAAGCGTATTTTAACATTGAGAGTTCATACTGGTTTTTTAAAATACTTACTTGCTGTATTTTATACTCTTGGGTAGACGTATGACGTCCATAGTTATTCATAATTCAGCCATACGGGGACAAGCTAAAACCGGTGTCAGCCATAAATATACAGGTCATATAACATTGCTCGCCTTAGCCTTCGCACATACCGAAGCCTTTGCATTATTTTCCGCTGTTTGGATGTAAGCTGAGGCGGTTGTGCAGTGAAAATCACAGCCTAATGATCTCCGGTCTAGACTGAGCAGCGAGTCAGTTTCAATCTATACCGATGACGATTAGTCGATAGCGGTTTGTACGGATTGTCGCTCGAGGCAGTGAGAACTTGTATATGCCACAGACCGTTAGTAGTG